TAGAATATAGAATAGAATAGGAGAGGAGTGGAATAGAATAGAATAGAATAGAATAGAATAGAATAGAATAGAATAGAATAGAATAGAATAGAATAGAATAGAATAGAATAGGAGTGGAGTGGAATAGAATAGAATAGAATAGAATAGGAGTGGAATAGAATAGAATAGAATAGAATAGGAATGGAGTGGAGTGGAATAGAATAGAATAGAATAGAATAGAATAGAATAGAATAGAATAGAGTGTAGAATATAGAATAGAATAGAATAGAATTGATCTTGGAGGTCATCTAGTCCAACCCCCTGCTAAGGCAGGAAACCCTATACCATTTTGGACAAAAGGCTATCCAGTCTCTTCTTAAAAACATCCAGTGTTGGAGCATTCACAACTTTTGGAGGCAGGTTGTTCCACTGGTTAATTGAAGTTCTAAAGGTTGAGAAACCTTGATCTAGAACAGTGATGGCGAACCTTTTAGAGACCGAGTGCCCAAACTTCAACCCCAAACCCACTTATGTATTGTCGGGTGCCAGGTGGGCGTGGCCGCCGGGTGGGTGTGGTCCGCCGGGTGGACGTGGCTACAGTGGTCATGGCAGATGGGTGGGGGTGGCCAGGGTGGGCACGGCCAGTTCGATGTTGCTCTTGGGGAGGGACGCCTGTGGGGGCTGGGCAGGGTTGGGGGAGATCCAGGGGTCTCTGGCAGGTGGGGTGGTGGGCAGGAGGCTGTATCTGCGGGGTGACGCGAGGCAGGGCGGGAGTGCCATGTCGCAGGGCAAGGCAAGACAGGGGCCGGGGTGGCTGCTGCCTGACACCATCGGGCCCCACACACAGAGGCCAGCAAGCACATGGGTGCTGGGATGTATCTGGCCATGTGGGACCTCGGCAAGTTAGCGGGTGGCTGGTTGAAGAAGACGGTTGCCATCTCCAGGGCACGGCACGCGTGCCCACAGAGAGGACTCCGAGTGCCACATCACTGACCTAGAAGGACAAAATTATAGATCAGAGAACATAGAATAATAGGGTTGGAAGAAGGTCTTCTAATCCAGTGGTTCTCAACCTTTTTAATGCCGCAACCCCCCAACCGGTCGTAAGTTGAGGACTACTCAGCCGGTCGTAAGTCGAGGACTACTCAACTGGTGCAGCACCATTTGCAGAATGGGACTTTTGGCGGGCTCAGCAGGGCAGAGACAGCCTGGACAATTCCTATTGGCTTTTGAAAGCCAATAGAATTAGACTCTATTCAAGAGAGTCTATTCTATTGGCTTTCAAAAGCCAACAGAATAAAAGGGAGGAGCACAGCTAAGGAAAAGGGGAAAAAAAATGGCGGACTGCGTTGTTTGGCGACCCCCGTGAAATGGTCGTTCAACCCCAAATGGGGTCCCGACCCACAGGTTGAGAACCACTGTTCTAATCTATGGGAATTGGCACTTTATATTTTGATAATTTATAATTATAAATATAAAAGAAGTATAAATTATACAATGTATACATTATAAATATAAAATAAATAAATTTGAATCCTGGCCAGAATTAGAATAGAATAGAGCTGGAAGGGACCTTGGAGGTCTTCTAGTCCAGCCCCCTGCTCAAGCAGGAGGTCCTATACCATCTCAGTCAGATAATTGTCCTGTCTCTTCTTAAAAACCTCCAGTGATGGAGCGCCCACGATTTCTGGTGGCAAGCTGTTCCACTGGTTGATTGTCCTCACTGTCAGGGAGTTTCTCCTTAGTTCCAGATTGCTTCTCTCTTTGATCAGCTTCCATCCATTGTTTTTCATCCTTTCCTCTGGTGCTCTGGTGACCCCCTGTGCCTTGTGGCAGCCCCTCAGATACTGGAACGCTGCTATCATGTTTCCCCTATTTCTTCTTTTCTTTAGACTAGAGTCGCCGAACCCAAGATCCGCAGCTTAACTATAACAGAATCTGGATAGGAAGGATCAAAAGTCACGAATGGTGGAGATCTAGGGACCCCAGACTTGGTTTTTCTGAGTAGAAGAATCATGTTCTGGGGACCATTAACATCCACACCTCCATAGCAATGTGTCCGAGGTTGTGCACGTGTGTCAAAACAGTCAGGATGGAGGCTACAGCCGTCTGGCTGAAGCTCCCGGATTGGGCTTCGAAGGCATGGACGCCATCTTGCCTTCCTTGACCACTCTTCTTGAACCATTCTTGTTGCGTAATACTGTCAATAACAGAAAATCAAATGAATGGTGTGACATAAGTTTTGCATTTAGGACATTCAGAAATAACAGACCTGCCCTTCCGCCTACTTCGGGAACTTCAGAACAGGAAGATTAAAAGTGAAAGTGAAAGTAGAGGGAAGGAAAGGAAAGGAAAGAGATGGGAAAGGAAAGAGAAGAGAAGGAAGGAGACGAGAAAGGAAAGGGAAAGGGAAGGAAAAGGAAAGGAAAGAGATGAAAGAGGAAAGAGATGGGAAAGGAAAGGAAAGAGATGGGAGAGGAAAGAGACGGGAAAGGAAAGGAAAGGAAAGGAAAGAGATGGGAAAGGAAAAAGATGGGAGAGGAAAGAGACGGGAAAAGAAAGGAAAGAGACAGGAAAGGAAAGGAAAGGAAAGGAAAGGAAAGAGACGGGAGAGGAAAGAGACGGGAAAGGAAAGGAAAGGAAAGGAAAGAGATGGGAAAGGAAAAAGATGGGAGAGGAAAGAGACGGGAAAGGAAAGGAAAGGAAAGAGACGGGAGAGGAAAGAGACGGGAAAGGAAAGGAAAGAGATGGGAAAGGAAAAAGATGGGAGAGGAAAGAGACGGGAAAGGAAAAGAAAGAGATGGGAGAGGAAAGAGACGGGAAAGGAAAGGAAAGGAAAGAGATGGGAAAGGAAAAAGATGGGAGAGGAAGGAGACGGGAAAGGAAAGGAAAGGAAAGAGACGGGAGAGGAAAGAGACGGGAGAGGAGAGAGACGGGAAAGGAAAGGAAAGGAAAGAGATGGGAAAGGAAAAAGATGGGAGAGGAAAGAGACGGGACAGGAAAGGAAAGGAAAGGAAAGAGATGGGAAAGGAAAAAGATGGGAGAGGAAAGAGACGGGAAAAGAAAGGAAAGAGACAGGAAAGGAAAGGAAAGGAAAGGAAAGGAAAGGAAAGGAAAGGAAAGGAAAGAGACGGGAGAGGAAAGAGACGGGAAAGGAAAGGAAAGGAAAGGAAAGAGATGGGAAAGGAAAAAGATGGGAGAGGAAAGAGACGGGAAAGGAAAGGAAAGGAAAGAGACGGGAGAGGAAAGAGACGGGAAAGGAAAGGAAAGAGATGGGAAAGGAAAAAGATGGGAGAGGAAAGAGACGGGAAAGGAAAAGAAAGAGATGGGAGAGGAAAGAGACGGGAAAGGAAAGGAAAGGAAAGAGATGGGAAAGGAAAAAGATGGGAGAGGAAGGAGACGGGAAAGGAAAGGAAAGGAAAGAGACGGGAGAGGAAAGAGACGGGAGAGGAGAGAGACGGGAAAGGAAAGGAAAGGAAAGAGATGGGAAAGGAAAAAGATGGGAGAGGACGGAGACGGGAAAGGAAAGGAAAGGAAAGAGACGGGAGAGGAAAGAGACGGGAGAGGAGAGAGACGGGAAAGGAAAGGAAAGGAAAGAGATGGGAAAGGAAAAAGATGGGAGAGGAAAGAGACGGGACAGGAAAGGAAAGGAAAGGAAAGAGATGGGAAAGGAAAAAGATGGGAGAGGAAAGAGACGGGAAAAGAAAGGAAAGAGACAGGAAAGGAAAGGAAAGGAAAGGAAAGGAAAGGAAAGGAAAGGAAAGAAAGAGACGGGAGAGGAAAGAGACGGGAAAGGAAAGGAAAGGAAAGGAAAGAGATGGGAAAGGAAAAAGATGGGAGAGGAAAGAGACGGGAAAGGAAAGGAAAGGAAAGAGACGGGAGAGGAAAGAGACGGGAAAGGAAAGGAAAGAGATGGGAAAGGAAAAAGATGGGAGAGGAAAGAGACGGGAAAGGAAAAGAAAGAGATGGGAGAGGAAAGAGACGGGAAAGGAAAGGAAAGGAAAGAGATGGGAAAGGAAAAAGATGGGAGAGGAAAGAGACGGGACAGGAAAGGAAAGGAAAGGAAAGAGATGGGAAAGGAAAAAGATGGGAGAGGAAAGAGACGGGAAAAGAAAGGAAAGAGACAGGAAAGGAAAGGAAAGGAAAGGAAAGGAAAGGAAAGGAAAGGAAAGGAAAGAGACGGGAGAGGAAAGAGACGGGAAAGGAAAGGAAAGGAAAGGAAAGAGATGGGAAAGGAAAAAGATGGGAGAGGAAAGAGACGGGAAAGGAAAGGAAAGGAAAGAGACGGGAGAGGAAAGAGACGGGAAAGGAAAGGAAAGAGATGGGAAAGGAAAAAGATGGGAGAGGAAAGAGACGGGAAAGGAAAAGAAAGAGATGGGAGAGGAAAGAGACGGGAAAGGAAAGGAAAGGAAAGAGATGGGAAAGGAAAAAGATGGGAGAGGAAGGAGACGGGAAAGGAAAGGAAAGGAAAGAGACGGGAGAGGAAAGAGACGGGAGAGGAGAGAGACGGGAAAGGAAAGGAAAGGAAAGAGATGGGAAAGGAAAAAGATGGGAGAGGAAGGAGACGGGAAAGGAAAGGAAAGGAAAGAGACGGGAGAGGAAAGAGACGGGAGAGGAGAGAGACGGGAAAGGAAAGGAAAGAGATGGGAAAGGAAAAAGATGGGAGAGGAAAGAGACGGGACAGGAAAGGATAGGATAGGAAAGGAAAGGAAAGAGATGAGAAAGGATAGGAAAGGAAGTAGACGAGAAAGGAAAGGAAAGGAAATGGAGAGAAAAGGAAGAAAAGGAAAGGAAATGGAGAGAAAAGGAGGAGAGGGGGAAGGAGAGGAGAATGGAAAGGGAAGGAAAGGAAGGAATAAAATTCATTACAGTGAAATCCCTATTTAACAGACCATCCTATAGGACTTTAAGTGTGACACACTCTGTTTCAACATCTGCCTGGAATAACAGACAAGTCCATTAAAACTGAAATAATCCAGACAAGAAATTATCCTTACCTTAATTTTGCTTTAATTTCACAGCATCCATGGTGGCTCATATTATTTGCACGGTAATATCAATGCACACGTGAAGTTAACAGCTTGACATCCTTTTGCACTTAATGGACATTTCAGCAATTATGGACAGGCCCTTCCCGTACTTGGTAAGACCACATTTGGAATCCTGCGCCCAGTTTTAGTCACTACAATATGAAAAAAGATGTTGAGACTCTAGAAAGGGTGCAGAGAAGAGCCACAAAGATGACTTGGGGGCTGGAGGATAAAACATGCAATGAAGGTTGTGAGAATTGTATGTTGTCTAGTGAAAATTAGGGCTAAGGGCGACATGATAGCAGGGTTCCAATCTCTCAGGGGCTGCCCCAAAGAAGAGGGAGTCAAGCTATTCTCCAAAGCGCCTGAAGGCCGCACAAGAAGCAACGGATGGAAACTCATCAAGGAGAGAAGCAACCTGGAACTAAGGAGGAATTTCCTGAACAATTAATCAGTGGAAAAGCTAGCTTCCAGAAGTTGTGGGTGAAAAGATTGGAAGTCCATTTGCCTGGGACAATGTAAGGTCTGCTGCTTGAGCAGAGGGTTGGACTAGAAGACCTCCAAGGTCCCTTCCAACTGTTATTCTGTTATTCTGCAAAGTTGTTGCTGGAAGCTGTGCAGCACAAGCTGTGATCACATAGCATTCTTCATGACATCGCCACAACACTGTTACAATGTACAGATTGTACCAGATGTCCATGCCTTGTGTCTCCAGCAGATGTGCAGCAGATGTGGCTCCCATCCTCCTAGAAGACCAGCTGAATTGTCTTGTAACTAGAATAACAGAGTTGGAAGGATCCTTGGAGGTCATCTAGTCCAACCCCCTGCTCAGGCAGGAAACCTTATACCATTTCAGACAGATGGCTGTCCAGTCTCTTCTTCAAAACTTCCAGGGTTGGAGCCTTCATCGCTTCTGGAGGCAGGTTGTTAATTGTTCTCATTGTCAGGAAATTCCTCCTTAGTTCTAGGTTGCTTCTCTCTTTGGTTACTTTCCATCCGTTGCTTCTTGTCCTTGGAATTTCAGCCAGAAGCCATGATTCAATAAATCATAACTTTACTGGATGTATGAATGCAAATATTGGCGGGTTTTTAGCATTCCCTGGGAATGTTGAGTCACTGAAGGAAAGGGAGCAAGACTGTTTTAAGATGGGACATTAGTGAAGCCATTAGAATGTCAGAATAGAATTAATAATAATAATAATAGTAGTAAAGTTGGAAGGGACCTTGGAGGTCATCTAGTCCAACCCCCTGCTCGGGCAGGAAACCCTACACCATTTCGGACAAATGGCTGTCCAGTCTCTTCTTAAAAACTTCCAGTGTTGGAGCATTTACTGCTTCTGGAGGCAAGCTGTTCCACTGATTAATTGTTCTCACTGTCAGGAAGTTTCTCCTTAGTTCTAGGTTGCTTCTCTCCTTGATTAGTTTCCACCCGTTGCTGGGGCCCCTGAGGTCTTCTAGTCCAGCCCCCTGCTCAAGCAGGAGAACCTACACCATCTTGCACAAGTGATTGTCTATTCTTTTCTTAAAAATCTCCAGTGACGGAGCGCCCACGATTTCTGGTGGCAAGCTGTTCCACCGGTTGATTGTCCTCACTGTCAGGAAGTTTCTCCTTAATTCCAGGATGCTTCTCTCTTTGGTTAGTTTCCAACTATTGTTTCTCGTCCTTCCCTCTGGTGCTTTGGTGAATAACGTGACCCCCTCTTCTTTGGGGCAGCCCCTCAGATACTGGAACGCTGCTATCATGTCTCCCCTATTTCTTTTCCTTAGACTAGCCCATCCCATGTCCTGCAGCTGTTCTTTGTATGTTTTGGTCTCCAGGCCTTGGATCCTCTTAGTTGCTCTTCTCTGAACTTTTTCCAAACTCTCAACGTCTTTTTTGTGATAGGGTGACCAAAATTGGCTGGAGTATTCCAGGTGTGGTCTTATTAGGGCTTTTGTAAAGCCATAACTGGGCTTGATCGGTTGAGCCTTGAGCATCCATGCATCAACAGCTGATATAGCTGGACTTCTGTGGCCTGTTTTTTGTGGGTTAGTTAGAACATAGACTCATCGGTCTGGAAGGGACCTTGGAGGTCATTTAGTCCAGTGGTTCTTAACCTGGGCAATATTGCCCCCCAGGGGGTGATTTTGTTTTTCAGGGGGGCGACGGACTGAAAAGGGGGCGATATGGGGGCGATGGAGCGAGACGTTTTGGGGACACTTTTGAGACTTTTTTCGTACAGTGAATTGCTGTATATCTGATGGAGGGGGGAGCGCTTCTTTCGAAACATCGCATGCTGAGCGGCTCTTTAAAACATTTTGTATTGTACTTTTTTTAGCGTGCACTCCAGTTCGATATCATATTTTCTTTGTGTCTTTTTAATCCTTTTTACAGTGTGCGGGACTATATATACTTTCCTCGAATCTTAATTGAGTTTCAGAGTTTTCGTCTTGAAATTCTTAGTTGCTGCATTGCGGTTTGTTCTTATGCCCTTTTTTATATTTCTTTTTGCGTCTTAAATTTCACTTGGTAATTCAGTCATTAAATGTTACTGTTTTTCTTTTCGGGCATTTCACTTTCTTGCAATTGGATTTTGTTTTCAGCGGTCACTACATTTAAGTGTCTTGAATAAATAAGATAATAATGAAATACATGGATCACGAAGTTTGGGAATAAAGTGACAGGTGGCACCAAAAAATTTTTCACACAGTTGAGATATGGGAAAAAGACTGAAAATAAATTATTTGCATCGATATGTCCTGATGACAATTTTAAAGAAAACCAAAAAAGTGTTTGGATAAATTGAAGAATTGTTTCCTATGTTGTGATTGAGAGGTTATGTTGGGGGAGGGGGGCAATGACAACTTTCTCATTGGCTCAAGGGGGCAATTCGTTCAAAAAGGTTAAAAACCACTGGACTAGTCCACTCCCCCCCCCCCGCTCAGGCAGGAAACCCTATACCATTTCAGACAAATGGCTGTCCAGTCTCTTCTTAAAAACTTCCAGTGTTGGAGCATTCACCGATTCTGGAGGCAGGTTGTTCCACTGGTTAATTGTTCTCACTGTCAGGAAGTTTCTCCTTAGTTCTAGGTTGCTTCTCTCCTTGATTAGTTTCCGTCTGTTACTTCTTGTCCTGCCCTCAGGTGCTTTGGAGAACAGATTTTTTAAAAAGAAGTGACTGAACAACCTTTTGTCTAAAATGGTATGGGGGCACCCGTGTGGGCAGTGGGTTGGACTAGAAGACCTCCAAGGTCCCTTCCAATTCTATTATCCTGTTATTCTATATGTGCACATCCTACTGAATTCCATTGGCACAATTTTGGAAAACACCTGGAATCCGGCATCCAGTTTTGGTCGCCATGATGTAAAAAAGATGCTGAGACTCTAGAAAGAGTGCAGAGAAGAGCCACAAAGATGATCAGGGGACTGGAGGCTAAAACATATAAGGAAAGGCTGCTGGACTTGGGTCTGTCTAGTCTAATGAAAAGAAGGACTAGGGGGAACATGATAGCAGTCTTCTACTATCTCAGGGACTGCCCCAAAGAAGAGGGAGTCAAGCTATTCTCCAAAGCGCCTGAAGGCAGGACAAGAAGCAACAGATGGAAACTAACTAAAGAGAGAAGCAACCTGGAATTAAGGAGAAACTTCCTGACAGTGAGAACAATTAACCAGTGGAACAACCTGCCTCCAGAAGCAGTGAATGCTCCAACCCTGGAAGTTTTTAAGACGAGACTGGACAGCCATTTGTCCGAAATGGTATAGGCCTTCCTGCCTGAGCAGGGGGTTGGACTAGATGACCTCCCTTCCAACTATTATTCTATTCTATTCTATTCTATTCTATTCTATTCTATTCTATTCTATTCTATTCTATTCTATTCTCCAAAGCACCAGAAGGCAGGGCAAGAAGCAACGGATAGAAACTAATCAAGGAGAGAAGCAACCTGGAATTAAGGAGAAATTTCTTGAGATTGAGAACAATTAACCAGTGGAACAGCTTGCCTCCAGAAGTTCTTCATCACTGAAGGTTTTTAAGAAAACACTGGGCAGTCATTTGTCTGAAATGATATGGGCTCTGCTGCTTGAGCAGAGGCTGGACTAGAAGACCTCCAAGGTCCCTTCCAGCTCTATTCTAATTGGGGGGGGGAACCCACAGAGGCTGCAAAGATGACTCACAAAGAGCAGACCAGTCCAAGAATTATTTAGCCATTAGTAAAACCTTGAAAGGCTGACTTGATGCAATCCAGTAGCAATTTAAGCAACTCAAAAGTGAGGTTTGCCAGAGACAATGCTGGTTGAGACATCGCTTCAAGGGCTGCAAAATTGACCGTTATTATTATTATTATTATTATTATTATTATTATTATTATTATTATTATTAACCACCCCGTGAGGGCGAAAGCTTCAGGCACCAAAAAGTCTTGGGGTAATAGGCAGGGAGTGAAAAACCATTTGCTTTTCTAATTGGGCGAGGATCCTGTTGATTGCACTTTGGTTAAAATCTGGCTTAAACCACTCAGAGGAAGCTAATTTTGAACATGGGCTATTTACTTTTGAACAGACAAAATGTAATGCAAAGTGGCGCCTTTGTCACCTTATCGTACCCCCTCGTTTTCATATTCACCCTCCCCCCCCGTTTTCCATGGGGAGGGGGGGTTCTAGGGAAATCACCCCATTGTTCAATTAGGACAATGGGTTTTGCAAAGAATTAGCCGTATTTCAGTTTTCCAAGGAAACATGCCAAGGTTATTCCTTTGAATTCCCTCTGCAAAATAGATTGTACTCAGATTGGCAGCAAAGAAAGATGGGACCTCAAAATCCAGGACAGCATTCCAGAGAGGTGGGTGGACTTCGATTCCCAGAATTCTCCAGCCAGCCTTAGCAACTATAAGATGTGTGGACTTCATCTCCCAGAATTCCCTGGGGAGTATTAGCAACTGTGGACTTCAACTCCCAGAATTCTCCACTTAGCCTTAGCGAATGTAAGATGTGTGGACTTCAACTCCCAGAATTCACCAGTCAGCCTTAGCAAATGTAAGATGTGTGGACTTCAACTCCCAGAAGTCCCCACTTAGCCTTAGCAACTATAAGATATACGGACTTCAACTCCCAGAATTCACCAGTCAACCTTAGCAAATGTAAGATGTGTTGACTTCAACTCCCAGAATTCCTCAGGGAATCTTAGCAACTGTGTGGACTTCAACTCCCAGAATTCCCCACTTAGCCTTAGCAACTATAAGATGTGTGGACTTCAACTCCCAGAATTCCTCAGGGAACCTTAGCAACTGTGTGGACTTCAACTCCCAGAATCCCCCAGTCAGCATGCTGGGAAATGAAGTCCACCCATCTTCAAGTTGCCAGACTGAAAGACACTGTTGTAAATCAGTATTTCTCAGGCTTGGCAACTTCAGATGGGGGCGGACTTCAACTCCCAGAATTCCCCAGCCAGCTTTGGGAACAGTAGTCCATCCATTTTAAAGTTGCCAGCATTGGGAAAACAAACAAACAAAACCCCAGATCTAAATATATATATATATATATATATATATATATATATATATATATATATATATATATTCCCATTTCTTGTGGGCTGTCTCTGATCAGGTCTGCATCTTCTGTAGACCGTGTTGTTCCAAATAAATATCTCCACCCCAAGTTAAAAAAAATTAAAATAAAAATAGAGATCGGGCAAAAAACCCAGAATTTTCTGTATGGTGCAATAAGGGGGCCGGCTTTTAATTTGGCTCCCAATACCTGCGGCCTCTTAGCCTTAATCTCTGGGTCACCAAGTCTCCACAGCTGCCAGAAAGCAGTGGAAATCTGGTTTTTTTTAATGGGCTCCAAATATGCACCGCACATTATTTTTCCTTCTGTCTAATTTCTCTGCCTAATGTTGCATATATCAAAAAAGAAGACGCCTGGAAAATGTGTAATTGCTGTCATGCAAGCTTTGGGCTGCTTCTTCCTTTTCTTCTTGTTTTTTTTTTTTTTTTTTGCAATTTACATATTTTATTTTTCCTAGACCACAAAGGTGCACCCGTTTCTTTTTTCCTTGTCCTGCTTTTTGGATGGAGATTCTTTATATACAACTGAAGGCTAAAATATATAGGCCGGTAGTCCTCGGCTTATGACCACGATTGTAAGCAACAATGTGTGTGTGTGTGTGTGTTTGTGTGTCCATTGTAACTTCGAACGGCCTCTGAGCAACTGAAAAAAGTGACCCATGACTGTTTTTCACACTTAACGACCGTTGCAGTACCATCACGCCCCCCCCCCGAGGGTCACGTGATCAACATTTATTTTAGACGCTTGGCAACCGACTCGTATTTATGACGGTTGTGATGCCCCTGGAAGGTCATGTGACCCCATTTTGCGACCTTCCGACAAGCAATGGGGAACCCAGGGTCATTTAAGAACTTTGTGTGTTACTAACTTAACAACTGCAGTGATTCATTTAACAGCCGGGGCAAGAAAAGTTGCAAAATGGGGCAAAAATCACTTAACATCTAAAGATGTTGAGACTCTAGAAAAGAATGCAGAGAAGAGCAACAAAGATGATTAGGGGACTGGAGGCTAAAGCATATAAGGAACGGCTGCTAGAATTGGGTATGTCTAGTTTAACGAAGAGAAGGACGAGGGGGGACAGGATAAGCAGTGTTCCAGTATCTCAGGGGCTGCCCCAAAGAAGAGGGAGTCAAGCTGTTCTTCAAGGCACCTGAAGGCAGGACGAGAAGCAATGGATGGAAATTAACCAAAGAGAGAAGCAACCTAGAACTAAGGAGAAACTTCCTGACAGTGAGAACAATTAACCAGTGAAACAACCTGCCTCCAGAAGCTGTGAATGCTCCAAGTTTTTAAGAAGAGAATGGACAGCTCTATGTCTGAAATGGTATAGGGTTTCCTGCCTGAGCAGGAGGTTGGACTAGATGACCTCCAAGGTCCCTTCCAGCTTCTACTCTACTCTACTCTACTCTACTCTACTCTACTCTACTCTACTCTACTCTACTCTACTCTACTCTACTCTACTCTATTCTATTCTATTCTATTCTATTCTATTTTCAAAGCACCAGAGGCAGTAATAAGATTCAGCCACTTCATACCACTTCGGCAGAGCCAGTAGCTAATTTTTGGTTGCCCAGGTCCAGAATGGACTTCTGGAAGCGGCATCCACACACAGAGAACCGGTTGTTCCCATATTTGAATCCCACCACTGACCAGACAGGACAGGACAAGAAACAACGGACGGAAACTCATCAAGGAAAGAAGCAACCTAGAACAGTGGTTCTCAAACTGTGGGTCGGGACCCCATTTGGGGTCGAACGACCATTTCACAGGGGTCGCCAAACAACGCAGTCCGCCATTTTTCCCCCCTTTTCCTTAGCTGTGCTACTCCCTTTTATTCTATTGGCTTTTGAAAGCCAATAGAATAGACTCTCTTGAATAGAGTCTAATTCTATTGGCTTTCAAAAGCCAATAGGGATTGTCCAGGCTGTCTCTGCCCTGCTGAGCCCGCCAAAAGTCCCAGTTTACAAACGGTGCTGCACCAGTTGAGTAGTCCTCGACTTACAACCAGTTGAGTAGTCCTCGACTTACAACCGGTTGGGGGGTCGCGGCATTAAAAAGGTTGAGAACCACTGACCTAGAACTAAGGAGAAACTTCCTGACAGTGAGAACAATTAACCAGTGGAACAACCTGCCTCCAGAAGCGGTCAATGCTCCAACACTGGAAGTTTTTAAGAAGAGACAGGACAGCCATTTGTCTGAAATATTATAGGGCTTCCTGCTTGAGCGGGGGGGGGGGTTGGACTAGATGACCTTCCCACTCTGTCATTCTGTAAATTATTCTGTAGAAACCCGAAGGTCGAAGATCGGGGGCTTTCTGACTCAAAGACCTGCAAGGTCCCTTCCAATTCTCTTCTTCTCTTCTTCTTTCAGTGAGTGCTGCCATGTTTGAGAACTGCACGGGTTGTGTTATGTGCTCCGAAGACAACGGCTGCGTCTCCTGCCAGCAGCGTCTCTTCCTGCTCATCTGGAGGGATGGGATCCGACAGTACGGGGCCTGTGTCCACGCCTGCCCATTGGGCTACTTCGGGGTGCGAGGCCAGGAAGTCAACCGATGCATCAGTAGGTGTCCACAGTGTGAAAAACCCAATTCTTGGAGGAGTCAGTAGCGTGTTAGCAAGAAAAAAAACATAGAACGAAGGTGGGCAATTTGGGGCAAAATCGAAGTCCTCAGTTCTCAGGGGGTTGGACTAGATGACCTCCAAGGTCCTTTCCAACTTTATTATTATTGTTGTTGTTGTTATCATCATCATCATCATCGCACAGTCAGCCCGATGTTCAGACTGGATTTGGCATTTTGCCTACCTATCAAGTCCTTACCCAGGACCTGGAATAGGCAGATGTGGATGTTTGATGGTATCACAGATCTCGTCGCAGGATGGAAGCAGTTCCTAATAAGGCCGCCTTTTGCAATTCACTAATGGCAAATTTGTCAATCCCAATGATGGTGTCCAAGTGGTGCTCCAGTTGTTTTGGGGTTGTACCCAAGGTGCCTATTACTATTGGTACTACCCTTGCTTGCTTTTGCCACAGTCTTTCTATTTCTATTTGTAGGTCTTTGTATTTTGTGATCTTCTCCAGTTCTTTCTTGTCTATTCTGCTGTCTCCAGGCACTGCCACGTCCACTATCCAGATTTTTTGTCTTTCTTACCAACAATTGTAAAGTCCGGGGTGTTATGCTGCAGGTGCTTGTCTGTTTGAATTCTGAAGTCCCAGAGCAGTTTAATTTTATCATTTTCTATGACTGTCTCTATTACTATTATTATAATTATTGTTATTATTATTATTATCCTTTATTAGATGTCTTTCTGTTTGTTTCTTTTTTAAAAAAAAATTTTTAAACTTTATGCAAAAAATTAAAATAGAATCTTTAAAAGAAATTACCAAGACAAAACAAAACTAGACAAAATATTTGAAAAAGAGGTGCATTTAAAAAAAGAAAAGAAAAAAAACACATATACCAGGGGTAGGCAACCTTGGCTCTTTTATGACTGGTGGACTTCAACTCCCAGAATTCCTGAGCCAGCATGGGGGAACTATGGCCCCTTCATGACTCGTGGACTTCAACTCCCAGAAGTCCTGAGCCAGCATGGGGGAACTATGGCCCCCTCATGACTCATGGACTTCAACTCCCAGAATTCCTGAGCCAGCATGGGGGAAATATGGCCCCCTCATGACTCGTGGACTTCAACTCCCAGAATTCCTGAGCCAGCATGGCTCAGCATGGAAACCTCTCCCTTTCCCCTCAGCATGGCTGGCTCAGGAATTCTGGGAGTTGAAGTCCACGAGTCATAAAAGAGCCAAGGTGGCCTATCCCTGACATATACCGATAAGAAAAAATAACCTTTATTGTCACTTTTGATCCCGGACAAATCCTGAATGGATCAGAGATAATAATGATTGTGGCTTGGGGTAGATAAGAAGCCACTGCAGGCTTTCTGCGTTTTAAATACAATAACAGACTGTTAACAGAGGGTTTTGAAGATTCATTCTACTCTTGGATTGCCTATTAACTCCCCCTTTTTTTAAAAAAAAAGAAATATGCAGCTTTATGAGAATTTCTATGGCAATGTAACTGATATTTTTTTTCCCCATTAAGATAATATTTCTTTCTTGAGGGTAGCAGCAGTAGAAGGGTACAGAAGTATCTTAAAGTTTGCTAATTATGAATTATGAATAACTAGGTAACATCAGTGCTAGAAGGGAGTGGGGTGTGCAGGGAGGAGGAGGAGGAGGAGGAGAACTGTGGAGTCCTTGGTGTTCTCTGAACTGGGTTGTTTTCTTGCAGACATTTCATTACCAAAACTAGGTAACATCATCAGTGCTAGAAGGGAGTGGGGTGTGCAGGGGGGAGGAGGAGGAGGATTGTGGGGTCCTGGGTCCTGATAGGACAGCCACCAGTCTATAAACCAAGAATAAATGTCCCCTTCCTACTAGCGCTGATGATATTACCTAGTTGGGTCATGAAACGTCTGCAATAAAACCACCCGGCTCAGAGAGCACCAAGGACCCCACAACCAGCATTCACTTTTGGTTTTCAGCAAAACTGGCCTATAGCTTAAGTCAGAGCTTTTCAACCTTTTCACCCATTGTACCACTTTTAGGATATGGCAATATCCGAGGACCACCAGTCGCCTAGCAAGGTGTCAAAAACTCGATGACCAAAAAAAAAGGGGGGGGAGTGATAACGTACAGGTAGTCCTCGACTTACAACAGTTTGCTTAGTGACTGTTCAAAGTTACAATGGCACTGAAAAAAGTGCTCCCCAAGCCACAGCCGAGCAAGACACCCGCCTGCCTGCCCAGCGGTGCTCTTCCTCCTGTCCAAGGTTTTCATGGTTGTGAGCATTTCTGTTGAGGATTGGTAGCGGGGGTGGGGTGGGGGGTGTTTGGTTTTTATTCCCCCCCCCCCCCGTCTGCTGGGTGGTTGCAGCAGGTTTTGGTCACTTCACATGACCCTGGGACACTGTGACCATCATAAATAAAATCAGTTGCCAAGCATCTGAATGTAAATCACAAGACCTTGGAGATGCTGCAACATTCCAGCTGATCGGCGCTTCTTCAGGGCTCAGCAGAAGTGCCAGGATCAGTGCTGCTTTCCAACTGATTGGTGCTTCTTCTGGGCTCAGCGGAAGCACCAGGATCAGCGTCAATCTCCAGCTGGAGCCTGGCGCTGATCCTGGTGCTTCCGCTGAGCCCTGACAGCCCTGCAGCTCCAGCTGTCTGTCGCTCAGGTTTGTGCAGTGCTGCCACTGGTTCAGCTTATTCCCCTCCCCCACCACCACTTTTCTAGGATGGTCGCGTCCCACCTGCCAGGTGCCAATGTACCACAGGTGGTACCCGTACCACTGGTTGAAAAGCCCTGGCTTAAGTGACCACTGCTTAACCACTGCAGTCATACTGATAATTCAGTATGACTTATTTTTATGTATTTATTTGTATTTTTATATGTATTTATTTGTATTTTTACAAATAATTCAGGGCAGCAAACATATCCAATATGTCTTCCTCCTCCTGTTTTCCCCACCACAACAATCCTGTGAGGTGGGTTGGGCTGAGAGAGAGGGTTGGTGATTGGCTCAAAGTCAGCCAACTGGCTTTCATGTCTAAGACAGGACTAGAACTCACTGTCTCCCAGTGATTGGCCCAAGGTCACCCAACCAGCTTTTCAACCTAAAGTCAGACTAGAACTCACTGTCTCCCGGTGATTGGCCCAAAGTCAGCAAGGAAGTTTTCATTACTGAGGTGGGACTAGAACTCTCCATCTCCTGGTGATTGGCCTAAAGTCACCCAGCTGCCTTTCATGTCTAAGACAGAACTAGAACTCACCGTCTCCTGGTGATTGCCCCAAAGTCAGCCCACTGTCTTAAAGGCGGCTTTTTCTAACACGCCATCTCTATGTTCTAGAATGCCGGTCGCCCAGCTGCGAGAGTTGTTTCAGCAAAGACTTTTGCATGAAATGTCAAGAGAGCTTCTACCTGCACAAAGGGAAGTGCTTAAACACCTGTCCTCCTGGCACCATGGCCTGGCACAGCAGCCGGGAATGCCAAGGTAAGCCATGCTGCAGGAGGGAAGAGGCCCCTTCCTCGTCAGCAACTAAACCACCCAGCCCAGAAAGAAGAGAATGGAATGGAATGGAATAGAATAGAATAGAATAGAATAGAATAGAATAGAATAGAATAGAATAGAATAGAATTAGAATGGAATAGAATAGAATAGAATAGAATCATGGAATGGAATGGAATAGAATAGAATAGAATAGAATAGAATAGAATAGAATCATGGAATAGAATAGAATAGAATAGAATAGAATAGAATAGAATAGAATAGAATAGAATAGAATAGAATAGAATAGAATAGAATAGAATAGAATAGAATAGAATAGATATAGAATAGAATAGAATAGAATAGAATAGAATAGAATAGAATAGAATAGAATAGAATAGAATAGAATAGAATAATAGAATAGAATAGAATAGAATAGAATAGAATAGAATAGAATAGAATCATGGAATAGAATAGAATAGAATAATAGAATAGAATAGAATAGAATCATGGAATGGAATGGAATAATAGAATAGAATAGAATAGAATAGAATCATGGAATAGAATAGAATAGAATAGAATAGAATAGAATAGAATAGAATAGAATAGAATAGAATAGAATAGAATAGAATAGAATCATGGAATGGAATAGAATAGAATAGAATAGAATAGAATAGAATAGAATAGAATCATGGAATGGAATGGAATGGAATAGAATAGAATAGAATAGAATAGAATCATGGAATAGAATAGAATAGAATAATAGAATAGAATAGAATAGAATCATGGAATGGAATGGAATAGAATAGAATAGAATAGAATAGAATAGAATAGAATAGAATAGAATAGAATAGAATAGAATAATAGAATAGAATAGAATAGAATCATGGAATGGAATAGAATAGAATAGAATAGAATAGAATAGAATAGAATAGAATCATGGAATGGAATGGAATGGAATAGAATAGAATAGAATAGAATAGAATAGAATCATGGAATGGAATAGAATAGAATAGGGTAGGACAGGCAGGACAGGGTAGGATAGGATAGGATAGGATACGATATGATACGATACAATATGATACGATAGGAGCGATATACTAGACTAGACTAGACTAGAATAGAATAGAAAATGGAATGGAATAGAAAATGGAATAGAAAATGGAATAGAAAACGGAATAGAAATACAGAATAGAAATACAGAATAGAAAATAGAATAGAATAGAAAATGGAATAGAAATACAGAATAAAAATACAGAATAGAAAATAGAATAGAAATACAGAATAGAAATACAGAATAGAATAGAATAGAATAGAATAGAATAGAATAGAATAGAATAGAATAGAAAATGCAATAGAATAGAAGCTGGAAGGGACCTTGGAGGTCTTCTAGTCCAGCCCCCCGCTCAAGCAGGAGAACGTCTACCATCTCAGATAGGTGACTGTCTTGTCTCTTCTTAAAAGCTTCTAGTCCTGAAGGTGTCTCCATATCCTCTTCCTTCCCCCCTCCCAGAAAACTGCGAGGCAGCCCCCTGGGGCAGCTGGAGCCCCTGCACCAAACAAGGGCGGATGTGCGGGTACAAGTGGGGTTCAGAGATCCGAGTCCGGGAGACTCTCCGCAGTGGCAAAGAGGACGTGGCCCTGTGTCCAGCACTGTCCGAGTCCCGGAAGTGTCGGATGAAGAGACATTGTCCTGGAGGTAAGATCTGGAGGCTGGAATCCCACCCCGGGCTGTCCTTTTTCAGCCTCACCAGGTAGACCAGATGGGAAACGTAGCCAGATAAGCGAAGGCTCCACGTACGGCCACAATGGACCCCGCCCCCAAATTTCTGTTGCTCAGTGAGACATTTGTTAAAGGAGCTTTGCCCCATTTTACGACCACTTGCTTGCCACCATTGTTAAGTGATATCCTCGCAGTTGTTAAGTTGGTAACATGGTGGTTAAGCGAATCCGGCTTGACTTGGCTTGTCCGAAGGTCACCAAAGGGGGTCATGTGACCCCAGGACGCTGTGACCATCATAAATACGAGTCAGTTGCCAGGTAGCTGGATTTTGATCATGTGACCTTGGGGCAGGGGTAGGCAACCTTGGCTCTTTTATGACTCGTGGACTTCAACTCCCAGAATTCCTGAGCCAGCCTGGCTCAGCATGGAAATCTCTCCCTTTTCCCTCAGTGTGGCTGGCTCAGGAATTCTGGGAGTTGAAGTCCACGAGTCATAAAAGGGCCAAGGTTGCCTACCCCTGGCCTAGAGTTGACGTCCACAAGCCATGAAGGGGCCATAGTTCCCCCATGCTGGCTCAAGAATTCTGGGAGTTGAAGTTGACAAGCCATGAAGGGGCCATAGTTCCATGTTGGCTCAGGAATTCTGGGAGTTGGTCCACAAGCCATGAAGGGGCCATAGTTCCCCCATGCTGGCTCAGGAATTCTGGGAGTTGAAGTCCACAAGCCATGAAGGGGCCGTAGTTCCCCCATGCTGGCTCAGGAATTCTGGGAGTTGAAGTCCACAAGCCATGAAGGGGCCATAGTTCCCCCATGCTGGCTCAGGAATTCTGGGAGTTGAAGTCCACGAGGCATAAAAGAGCCAAGGTTGCCTACTTCTGCCCTGGGGGGGTGCTATAATGGTCGTAAGTGTGAAAAACGGCCATCAGTCCCTTTTGTCACTTTGAACAGTCGCTAAACGAACTGTGGAAAGTATAGGTCAGTGGTGGCGAACCTATGGCACGGGTGCCAGAGGCAGCACTTCAGAGCCCTCTCTGTGGGCACGCGCACCATGCCCCGGAGATGGCAACCATCTCTCTTCAACCAACCGCCCGCTAACTCACCGAGGTCCCACATGGCCAGATGCATCCCAGCATGGCTGGTTTCTCTCCCCCCACATCCCATCCCTCCTGGCCTCGCATGCTCTCCTTTTTCCCGGGCATGACCCACTGCATCGCCTCCTCAGCTGTCGGCAGTCCAGCTCAGAGGCGGCTTCTCTGAACTGCTGGAGGTGGGCTGCAGAGCCCCAGAGTGCACCAGTCAAGGGGCTGGCAGGCTGTGGCTGCTGACGGACACTGTCGGCCCCCATGCGCTCACTGGCCTCTGTGTGCGGGGGCCGATGGTGTCAGGCAGCAGCCGTCCCGGCCTCTGCCCTGCCTTGCCCTGCAGCAATGGCACCCCTGCGTGCCCCGCCTTGCCTCGCCTCACCCCGCAGGACGAGCCTCCTGCCCACCGCCCCACCTGCCAGAGACCTCCTAGATCTCCCCCAACCCTGCCCGGCCCCCACAGGCGTCCCTCCCCACGAGCAACATCGAGGAGACTGGCCACGCCCAGTCTGCCATGACCACAGCCACGCCCACCCAGTGGGCCACGCCCACCTGGCACCGGGAGATAAAGAAGTGGATTTTCGGTTGCAGTTTGGGCACTCGGTCTCTCAAAGGTTCGCCATCACTGGTGTAGGTAGTCCTTGATTTACGACCACAACATTTCTGTTGCTACGTGAGACATTTCTTGAGTTTTGCCCCGTTTCGTGACCTTTGTTGCCACCGTGGTTAAGTGAATCTCTGCCCTTGTTAAGTTAGTGACATGGTCGTTAAGCGAAGCTGACTTCCTCCATGGACTTTTCTTGTCAGAAGGTCGCAGAAGGGGGTCACGTGACCCCGGGGACGCCGCAACCCGTCACAAAGATGAACCAGTCTGCCAAATTTTGATCACGTGACCTTGGGGACGCTAAAATGGTCACCAGTGTGAAAAACAGTCACAAGTCACTTTTTTCAGGGCAGTTGTAAGTTTGAACGGTCACTAAATGGAACTGTTGTAATTTGGGGACTCCCTGTATCTTTATTGCAAAGCTCACCTTAAGAGAATCTTGCAAATTTGAAGGTACAAATCTCTCACCAATAGGTAGGTAGGTAGGTAGGTAGGTAGGTAGGTAGGTAGGTAGGTAGAGAGAGACAGATAGACAGACAGAGAGACAGATAATAGAAGATAGATAGATAGATAGACAGATAGATGATAGATAGATAGATAGATAGATAGATAGATAGATAGATAGATAGATAGATAGGCAGATAGATAGATAGATAAAGAGAGAGAGCCAGCCAGCCAGCCAGCCAGACAGACAGACAGACATAGAAAGACAGAGAGTCAGAGAAAGATAATATATTATAGATAGGGGGAGAGAGAGAGAGAGAGAGAGAGAGAGAGAGAGAGAGAGACAGACAGACAGACAGACAGACAAACAGACATAGAAAGACAGAGTCAGAGAAAGATAATAGATGATAGATAGGGGGAGAGAGAGAGAGAGAGACAGACAGACAGACAGACAGACAGACAGACAGACATAGACATAGAGAGATAATAGATGATAGATAGGTAGAGACAGAGAGAAAGAGAGAGACAGAGAGAGAGACAGAGACAGAGAGACAGGCAGACAGGCAGACAGACATAGACAGAGAGAGATAATAGATGATATATATATATATATATATATATAGAGAGAGAGAGAGAGAGAGAGAGAGAGAGAGAGAAAGAGAGACAGACAGACAGACAGACAGAGGTAGGCAGACAGGCAGACAGATATAGACATAGAGACAGATAATAGATGATAGAGAGATAGAGACAGACAGGCAGACAGACATAGACAGACATAGACAGAGAGAGATAATAGATGATAGATAGGTAGATAGATAGATAGATAGATAGATAGATAGATAGATAGATAGATAGATAGATAGATAGATAGATAGATAGATATAGAGAGGGAGAGAGACAGACAGACAGGCAGGCAGGCAGGCATACAGACATAGAGACAGAGAGAGATAATAGATGATAGAGAGATAGAGAGATAGATAGAGAGAGAGAGAGACAAACAGACAGACAGACAGACAGAGACAGAGATAATAGATGATAGAGAGAGAGATAGAGAGAGAGAGAGAGAGAGAGAGAGACAGACAAACAGACAGACAGACAGACAGACAGACATAGAGACAGAGAGAGATAATAGATGATAGAGAGATAGATAGATAGATAGAGAGAGAGAGACAGACAGACAGACATAGACAGATATAGACAGACATAGAGACAGAGAGAGATAATAGATGATAGAGAGAGAGATAGAGAGAGAGAGACAGACAGACAGACAGACAGACAGACATAGACAGACATAGAGATAGAGAGAGATAATAGATGATAGAGAGAGAGAGAGAGAGAGACAGACAGACAGAGATAGTTTCAGAAGCTGTCAAGCTTGTTTTGCAAACTTTGCTATAGTTGGGCAACCTTTTCACCTTCGAAGCTTCTCTTGCTGGCTGCCCTTACAATATTCTGGAGCAAAACAAAAAACGCATACAAAAACCAACACCCAGTGGGCTGGTGATGAAAAGAGAGTTGAAACCAGATGTGTAGAGGGATGTGTGTTTTTTTTTTTTTTTTTTTTGGTTGTTGTTCTATTTGGTGGGGGGAAAAAATGTTTTGCTTGCTAATGACATACCGGGTTCTCCTGGCCAAAAATGTCACGCCTTAGGAGGAAGTAGCTTGACTCCCGCTCCTTCGTTTGTTGTCTTGCAGAGAGGAATGAAAACAAGAGGAGAAGCAAGGAGGAAAGGAAGGCGACGAAGAAGAAGAAAATAGATGCCTTCAGGGTCGCCTAAGGAGTTTCAGACTGAGTGGGTTTGTCCTGGAGGAAATCAGGACCCAATGAAGTCCATCAGGGAGCTCCATCATTGGCCCAAAAATATATATTAGGATGGTTTCTATCTCTTCCCTTCTGCCTTTCAAAGTTCCCCCTCTTCAGCTCCTCAGTTCTCCTCCAGGTTTCTCCAACATGATGGTTGGTGGTGCCTCTTGACCATCTCTCCAGCATGGTTGGAGAACAGAAGATTGGAGATTGAGTCCATGCACTCTCTTTCCATGTTGGTGTCTGAAAAAATCTTCTCCCTTTCTTCCTTCCTTCCTTCCTTCCTTCCTTCCTTCCTTCCTTCCTTCCTTCCTTCCTTCCCTCCCTCCCTCCCTCCTTCCATCCATCCATCATCCATCCATCCATCCACCTCTCCATCTCAGAACCTTTATGATAACCAGGACAGCACCAAAGCAGGAGCCACCAAGGAACCCAGTTGAGAAGGGACTGACTCTTGCTCTTTGATCTGCTATGGAAGAGGACGAGATGGGCCATCCAGAAGAGCTGAAGACCACGCGGAGTCCCATCTAAAGAGATGGAGCGCTGGAGGGAAATGCAAGTTCTCATCTAGCTTTCTCCTGGTTCTTCCTCCATCTCAACCCCCCCCCCCCTTGGAAGTGTTTTCCTGAATATTTCTGAATATCGATTGTCCGACAGACATGAGTTTAAGAGAAAGGAAGAACCCAATTCTTCTCTTTCTCTGTTGTCACCCATTTTTCTCACCCAAGAGGTTGAGACGATTGTGGTCCTGGGCCACCGACTTATGCTTCTCCACAGAAAATGACAGACCGTGTTTTTTCTTTCCAAGATAGAAGCCAAGGAGACTGTGACACCATCTCTAGAGGCCATCTAAAGACCTCTGAGGAGGACGGGAAAAATTTTGGAGGTTGGTTCCCTGTTGAAGGAAACTGACTACTGAGGGTTAGAAGGAGATTGTTTGAATTGACAAATTCATAGGATCAACTTAGAAAAGACTCACGGTTTAACACTTCCAACAGAAAGGCCCACGATGTCCTATCAGCTGCGGAGGATTAACCAGAACCTTGAATTTCCTAGAACCTCCCCAAATGACTTAAACCGGATCAACTGCCAATCTTTGTAGACCAAGCTAGTTTATCCTCTCTGCTTTCTTGACAGACTGAGTTCCCATCACCAGATCTTGTCCGTGTTCCTCCATCAAAAGTCGAAATTGGCCACAGTGAGGATGGGACATCTTGGTCCAACAGAGAATCAGATGCTTGGAGCAATCTAGAACACCAGTTCCAAGCTAACTGTAATTATTAAATAGTGAGTTTTCAAGCCATCCTAGGTTCTGGGAGGCTAAAATATATGAAGGACGGTTGCAGGAACTGAGCATGCTAGTCTAAGGAAGAGAAGGACTAAGGGTGACATGATAGCTCCAATATTTGAGGGGCTGCCACGAAGAAGAAGGGGTCCACTTGTTCTCCAAAGCACCTGAAAGCAGGAGAAGAAGCAACGGATGGAAACCAATCAAGGAGAGAAGCAACCTAGAACTAAGAAGAAACTTCCTGGCAGTGAGAACAATTAACCAGTGGAATGGCTTGCCAGCAGAAGTTGTGGATGCTCCAATACTGGAGTTTTTCCTGAAGAGATTGGACAACACTTTATCTGAGATGCTATAGGACAGGGGTTTTCAAACTTGACCCTTTGATGACTTGTGCACTTCAACTCCCAGAATTCCTCAGCCAGCATGCCTGGCTGAGGAATTCTGGGAGTTGAGGTCCACAAGTCATCAAAGGGCCAAGTTTGAAGACCCCTGCTATAGAACATATAAGGCAGGTATGAGTATTTTGAGGAAATCTTAAAGGAACATTTTGGAAAAGAAGAGTAGATAGAGGCCTAGTTCAGATTTTTCTTGGCTGCTTTGTGGCTCCACGGCTGGAAGAGAGGTAATTATCACTAAATGTAGAACAAGGGTAAAATTTCTGCTTTTTTTCCCCTCATAAAGAATATAATACAGGTATGTAGTCCTAAACCAGGGGTCTTCAAACTGGGCCCTTTCATGACTTTTATGCTTGAATCCTGCAGAATCACGGAATAACAGAATTGGAAGGGACCTTAGAGGTCTTCTAGTCCAACCCCCTGATCAAGCAGGAGATCCTATACCAGGAGTCTTCAAACTTGGCCCTTTTATGACTGTGGACTTCAACTCCCAGAATTCCTCAGCCAGCACACCTGGCTGAGGAATTCTGGGAGTTGAAGTCCACAAGTCATCAAAGGGCCAAGTTTGAAGACTCCTGGTTTAGGACTACATACCTGTATTACATTCTTTATGAGGGGGGGAAAAAAAGCAGAAATCTTACCCTTGTTCTACATTTAGTGATTATTACCTCTCTTCCAGCTGCGGAGCCACAAAGCAGCCAACAAAACTCTGAACTAGGCCTCTCTCTACTCTTTTTTTCCAGAATGTTCTTTCAAGATTTCCTCAAAGTACTCATACCTGCCTTATATATTCTATAGAACAGGGGTCTTCAAACTTGGCCCTTTTAGGACTTGTGGACTTCAACTCCCAGAATTCCTCAGCAACCGTGCCTGGCTGAGGAATTCTGGGAGTTGGTCCACAAGTCATAAAAGGGCCACGTTTGAAGACCCCTGGTCTACAGTGACTGATAGGTCTGCAGGTAACTGAGTAAACATGCACTGTAAATCTACTTCCCTCCCCCCAATCAAGCTGCAGATTTCCAATAGGTTTCTGTATTTTTGGATGAAAGAGAGTGACACATTCTTATGTTGATAAATAAATAGATTTTATATATATTATAGAGAATTTATTTCTAGAATGACAACGTATTTAAAAAAAAAATTCCTTCATATCTTTTAAATATATATATATATATATATTGGGGGACTTTTGTTAAAAACGAAGTTTTGTAAATAACCCACAGAGGGGGGAGGGTGTCTCAGACCATATCAGATCTTTGATTCTGCTTTGATTTTTAGCAGAAAATTTAGCCAGGAAAATAAAAAAGTTTTTTTTTCTGTAAACTTTTTAATTAATTGCCACGGGGGGGGGGGGGGGAGGGGACATTGAAGAGTCGACCGACCGCAATTTTCACTTCTTGGCGTTTTGCAATCTTGTCTTTAAAATCCGCCTTCCCAAATCGACCTTAGGTTGGGATTGCAGAGTCCATCCTCCCCAGCCAGCATAGGAATGACACTATTGGGTGCCTCAGCCGAATGGAAGGTGGCCAGGGAGGCATCTGGAAGGAGTGAAATGTTATCTATTTTTGTATTGTGTTGAAAAGCGTTGGAGTTTGTTCAGTATTCAATAAAGGTGTCTGTTTAAAAACCTCAAAACTTTGTCGTGTGTATGTGTGTGTTTGATGAATCTATCTATCTATCTATCTATCTATCTATCTATCTATCTATCTATAGAATACAATAGAATAGAAATGTTTAAACGTGTGTTATATATGTGTACACTTCGAAAGTAAGCAACTAAATTTCATTTTTAATATGTGCTATTATGCCCACAGTAAAAAAAGACAATAAATATTATCTATCTATCTATCTATCTATCTATCTATCTATCTATCTATCTATCTATAGAATAGAATAGAATAGAATAGAATAGAAATGTTTAAATGGGTGTTATGTATGTGTACACTTTGAGACCATGCAGCTAAATTTCATTTTTAATATGTGCCATTGTGCCCACAGTAAAAAAAAGACAATAAAGGTTATCTATCTATCTATCTATCTATCTATCTATCTATCTATCTATCTATCTATCTATCTATCAATAGAATAGAGTAGAGTAGAGTAGAGTAGAATAGAATAGAATAGAATAGAATAGAATAGAATAGAATAGAATAGAAATGTTTAAATGGGTGTCATGTATGTGTACACTTTGAGACCATGCAGCTAAATTTCATTTTTAATGTGTGCCATTGTATCCAGAGTAAAAAAAATGACAGTAAAGATTATCTATCTATCTATCTATCTATCTATCTATCTATCTATCTATCTATCTATCATCTATCCATCTATCTATCTATCTATCTATCTATGAATAGAATAGAATAGAATGTTTAAATGGGTGCTATGTGTGTGTACACTTTGAGAGCATGCAGCTAAATTTCATTTTTAATGTGTGCCATTGTGCCCACAGTAAAAAAAAAAAAAAAAAAAAAGACAATAAAGGTTATTTATCTCAATTGAGGACCACTGCTGATTACAACTCCTCTCTCCGGGAGATGGCAGTGCAATCCAACCATGGGGAAAAAAAAAAAGAACTTAATTCTCTTCCAAGCCTTTGGCTGCCTTGCTTTTCGTCCTACAGAGCCTCAGAAGCAGGAAGTGGAAAGGCTGAATTTTGGGGTCAAAAACCGAGTCTTGGAAACCCGCCACCATCCCTATTTCCACCGAGCCCAGAAGTAAAATGTCTTGGGAAGATGGGGTCACCCCTCGGTTTGAACTCGGATCAGCCTCCTGCGTCTTCCGAAAAGGCTACAGGAAAATAAATAAAAGAAATAAAGAGACATTTTCAGAAACACTAACCTCCAGCTTCCATTTTAATCCCTGGGGGGGCGGGGGTAGGGTGGGGGCTAAAGGCACTTTGCCATCCCTTTCCTGTCCTCCCCCAACTTGCAAAGGAGAGGGGGGAAAAAAAGATTCTAAAGAAGAATCTTGACATTTTGGCTGCCGCGTTGAATTGACCACTAAAATTCTCCTCTTTGAATATTTTCCAAATTGGAAAAAAAAAAAGGTACTTGCGGTCCTCGACTTACAACAGTTCTGTGGGAAGTCAGCCCCCCCCCTCCCCCAGAGAAGGAAATATTAAAAGGACAGAAAAATGTATTTCCTCAAAGGATCTTAAAGAGGCAGAATAGCATGCCCAGTTTTTCTGAATAGCCCCAAGTCTCCCCCCCCCCCAAGCAGAAACCAGCTCTGTAGAAATGCAGATGTAAATAATCCAGGAAGGTTGGAGGCCCCCAGCTAGAAGATTAAGAAGACAAAGACACTTAAAATCTACATACCTCACCCAAACTCTAAGATAGGATTAATCCGCATTTGCCAAAGGGCACACTCAGACTTAGGTCAAAGTTCATGCCACAGGAACGACTCCAAGCAAAAGGCTCCAGAGGGTATAAAAACCCACTCCCTACATGTGCTCGCTCTCTTTTCTTCCAGAGCCAACTTTCTGTCTGGCTCTCCTCTTCAATAAACTGCAACTTTCTTTCTAAAGCAGTC